GGATTTAGTTCTGGTTTAAATCCTGGTTTAAGTTCTGGTTTGGTTCTGGTTTAAGTCCTGGTTTAGTCCTGGTTTAGTCCTGATTTAGTCCTGATTTAGTTCTGGTTTAAGTTCTGGTTTGGTTCTGGTTTAAGTCCTGGTTTAGTCCTGATTTAGTCCTGATTTAGTTCTGGTTTAAGTTCCTGGTTTGGTTTTCTGGTTTATTTAGTCCTGATTTAGTCCTGATTTAGTTCTGGTTTAAGTCCTGGTTTTAGTTTTCCTGGTTTAGTTCTGGTTCTGGTTTAAGTCCTGGTTTAGTCCTGATTTAGTCTTGGTTTAAATCCTGGTTTGGTTCTGGTTTATGTCCTGGTTTAGTCCTGTTTTAGTTCTGATTTAGTTCTGGTTTAAATCCTGGTTTGGTTCTGTTCACATCCTGGTTTAGTCCGGGTTTTGGTTCCTGGTTTAAGTCCTATGTTTAGTCCCTGGTTTAGTCCTGGTTTAGTCCTGGTTTAGTCCTGGTTTGGTTCTGGTTTAAGTCCTTGTTTGACAGAGTAGAAATAGGAGTAGGAGTAGTTTTAGTAGTACCAGTATAAATAGTAGTAGTACCAGTAGTAGTAGTAGTAGTAGTAGTACCAGTAGTAGTAGTAGTATTTCTGGCAGTAGTACCTGCAGTATTTGCGCCCCCCCCGAGCGCCCTGACCTGAGGCGGTTCTGCACTCACCTGCCGCCATGAGCAGAGCGGTGAGTTTGGCCGAGCCGCGACCTGCAGCCACGTGCAGCGGAGTCGAACCGTCAAACGTACAACTGTCCACTCGGGCATTTCCCTGGAAAACACAAGACACAAGACACACACATGAATCCAGGGAGTAACAGATTACATGTACCAGAGTAATCAGAGTACAAATGATGAGTAACTGTATTCAGTTACAGTTACTGTTTCAGTCAGTGGTAATTGGATTACAGTTACTTTGTTGAAATAAATGGATTACACAGAGGTGTTTTCCTGTTTTCATATTTTGGGCTAAACCAGGACTAAACCAGGACTAAAACCAGGACTAAACCAGGACTAAAACCAGGACTAAACCAGGACTAAACCAGGTCTAAAGCAGTTTGGTTCAGTCCTCGGTTAGTCCTGGTTTAGTCCTGGTTTAGTCCTGTTTAGTCCTTTCAGTCCTGGTTTAGTCCTGTTTAGTCCTTAGTCCTGGTCCTGGTTTAGTCCTGGTTTAGTCCTGGTTTAGTCCTGGTTAGTCCTGGTTCAGTCCTGGTTTAGTCCTGTCAGTCCTGGTTAGTCCTGGTTCAGTCCTGGTTCAGTCCTGGTTTAGTCCTGGTTCAGTCCTGGTTCAGTCCTGGTTTAGTCCTGGTTCAGTCCTGGTTTCAGTCCTGGTTTAGTCCTGGTTCAGTCCTGGTTCAGTCCTGGTTTAGTCCTGGTTCAGTCCTGGTTCAGTCAGTCCTGGTTCAGTCCTGGTTCAGTCCTGGTTCAGTCCTGGTTTAGTCCTGGTTCAGTCCTGGTTCAGTCCTGGTTCAGTCCTGGTTTAGTCCTGATCAAGACCAGTTAAGGTGGAAACAGCTTTGAACTTTCTAATAAAAGCCTTTTAACTAGATTTTTGCTCGTGGGATTCTTAACTTTTTCTTCTGTTTTGCCTGGAGTCTATTGTGTTTGACCCAGAATTATGTAATTTTGTTCTGGGAGCAAGACCAAAGTTCTAAGGTTCTTACCAAGTATGAATAAACCTTTTGGGCCCCATGAGCCGGAGCTGGATAAAACCTTAAAATCAATTCTAAATGGAACAAGAAGCCAGTGCAAAGACACAAGGATTGGTGTGATATGTTCTCGTTTTTTGGTTCCTGTTAAATGTCGTGGAGTTGGGGACTAACAGCTACAGGAAAGTGCAGGAGTCCAGATGTGACGAAATAAAAGCCTGCATGACCCGTTCAAAAAGATTAAAAGATAAAAAAGGTTTGACTTTGGATAAAAGTCATAAATGATAAAAACTTGATTTTAAGACGTGGTTTATCTGGGGTCAGCCCTATGTTCCCACAGATTTTTCTAAAAATTAAACTCTTATTCAAGTAATTTTTATTTTTATACCACATTTAAAGGGATGATTCAGAGTCATTTCACCCTCGGATCATTTGCTCCATGAGTCCACATCACATCTGTGTTCACCTGCTGCTGGAGAGGAGGTTGACTGACGACCAAATTGGGAGAAATGGGGATAAAATCTGATGTAAATTAATGATAAAGGAAAGAAATAAAGGGCCAAATTTTGGAAAGAGAAAAAAAAAACTTCTCTCCCGCCCCCGTTTATGGTTGTGTTCCTTGTGGTTGGGGTTTGTGGTACCTCCAGGAGCAGGCACCCGGCCAGTGAGACGTTGTCCGCCTCGGTCGCCAGGTGCAGGGGCGTCCTGCCGCTCGTCCTCTCCTGCAGCTCCACGTCGGCGCCGCTCTGTAGTAGGCTCCGAAGGGACGACAGACGATTGGACAAAACGGCCATGTGGAGCGGACACTGTCCTGAAACACAGAGCGCAGACGGGTCAGGGACCACAGGCCGGGTTTGGGTCTGGTTTAAGTCCAGGTTTAGTCTTGGTTTAGTCTTGGTTTGGTCCTGGTTTAGTCCTGGTTTAATACTGGTCTGGTTCTGGTAAAAGTACTGGTTTAGTCCTTGTTTACTCCTGATTTTTTTCCTTGTTTATTCCTGGTTTAGTTCCGTTTTTAATCCTGGTTTTAGTCCTGGTTTGGTTCTGGTTTAAACCCTGGTTTATTGCTGGTTTAGTCCTGGATTATGTCTGGTTTATTCCTGGTTTAGTTCTGGTTTAAATCCTGGTTTAGACCTGCTTTAGTCCTGCTTTAGTCCTGATTTAGTCCTGGTTTAGTTCTGGTTTAGTTCTGGTTTAAATCCTGGTTTGATTCTGGGTTTAGTCCTGGTTTAGTTCTGGTTTGAATCCTGGTTTGGTTCTGTTTACGTCCTGATTTGGTCCTGGTTTAGTCCCGGTTTAAGCCCTGGTTTATTTCTGGTTTAAATCCTAGTTTGATCCTGGTTTTACTCCTGACCTAGTCCTGGTTTGGTTCTGGTTTAAATCCTGGTTTAGTTCTGACTCAGTCCTGGTTTAATCCTGGTTTAAATCCCAGTTTAAATCCTGGTTTGGTTCTGGTTTAAGTCCTTGTTTGACAGAGTAGAAGTAGTAGCAGCAGCAGTAGTAGTACCAGTAGTAGAACCAATAGTAGTATTAGTAGTAGTAGTAGTAGTAGTAGCAGTAGTATTTCTGACAGTAGTACCTGCAGTATTTGCGACCCCCATGAGCGCCCTGACCTGGGGCCTCTGCAGCAGGTGCGACGTCATGTCTCCCACTTCCTGCGCCGTCGCCAGGTGAAGCGCCGTGTTGCCGTGGCGATCTGTGAGGGCGGGGTCAGCTCCGGCCAATAGGAGAGTGTCTACGGCGTCCTTCTGCTGCGTCAGGACCGCCAGGTGCAAAGGAGTCTGGGAAAAATCACAATATTCATCTAAAACGACTTAAAAAAAAAAAACAAGTCCGCTGATTTCTGCAAAAAAACTAACAAAACTGTGGTGCCAAAAATATTTAAATATCGAAATATCGTATCGTTTAATGTGCTGATACAGTATCGATATATTGCCAAGAGTATTTTTGTGTATTTTACTAAATAATTTTGTTACAGAACTACAAACCTGAAAGAATTATTTGACCAAACTTTAATTTAATGAACATTTTAGTCAAATTTTTAAAACAAAAGTCACTGTACCTGATTTTAATTGTCTTAAAAATGTGAAAATGTGCTTTTAGTCCTGGTTCAGTCCTGGTTTAGTCCTGATTTAGTCTGGGTTTAGTCCCGGTTCAGTCCCGGTTCAGTCCTCCCTTAGTCCTGGTTCAGTCCTGGTTTGGTCCCGGTTCAGTCCCGGTTCAGTCCTCCGTTAGTCCTGGTTTAGTCCGGTTCAGTCCCGGTTCAGTCCCGGTTCAGTCCCGGTTCAGTCCTCCGTTAGTCCTGGTTCAGTCCTGGTTCAGTCCTGGTTTAGTCCCGGTTCAGTCCCGGTTCAGTCCCGGTTCAGTCCTCCGTTAGTCCTGGTTCAGTCCCGGTTTAGTCCCAGCTCAGTCCCGGTTCAGTCCTCCGTTAGTCCTGGTTTAGTCCCGGTTCAGTCCCGGTTCAGTCCCGGTTCAGTCCCGGTTCAGTCCTCCGTTAGTCCTGGTTCAGTCCTGGTTCAGTCCCGGTTCAGTCCCGGTTCAGTCCCGGTTCAGTCCTCCGTTAGTCCTGGTTCAGTCCCGGTTTAGTCCCAGCTCAGTCCCGGTTCAGTCCTCCGTTAGTCCTGGTTCAGTCCTGGATTAGTCCTGCTTTAGACCTGGATCAGTCCTGGTTTAGTCCTGGTTCAGTCCTGGTTCAGTCCTGGTTTAGTCCTCGGTTAGTCCTGGTTTAGTCCTGGTTCAATCCTGGTTTAGTCCTGGTTCAGTCCTGGTTTAGTCCTGGTTCAGTCCTGTTTTAGTCTTGGTTTAGTCCTCAGTTAGTCCTGGTTCAGTCCTCGGTTAGTCCTGGTTTAGTCCTCAGTCAGTCCTGGTTTCAGTCCTCGGTTAGTCCTGGTTTAGTCCTCGGTTAGTCCTGGTTCAGTCCTGGTTCAGTCTTCGTTCAGTCCTGGTTCAGTCCTCAGTTAGTCCTGGTTTAGTCCTGGTTTAGTCCTGGTTCAGTCCTCTTTTAGTCCTGGTTTAGTCCTGGTTCAGTCCTGGTTCAGTCCTGGTTTAGTCCTGGTTTAGTCCTCAGTTAGTCCTGGTTCAGTCCTGGTTTAGTCCTGGTTCAGTCCTGGTTCAGTCCTGGTTTAGTCCTGGTTCAGTCCTGGTTCAGTCCTGGTTCAGTCCTGGTTTAGTCCTGGTTTCAGTCCTGGTTTAGTCCTGGTTCAGTCCTGGTTCAGTCCTGGTTCAGTCCTGGTTTAGTCCTGGTTCAGTCCTGGTTCAGTCCTGGTTTAGCCCTGGTTTAGTCCTGGTTTAGTCCTGGTTCAGTCCTGGTTCAGTCCTGGTTCACCTGGTATAAATGGTTCCTCATATTGAGCAGTTCCTCTGTGGAGAAAACCGACAGGACCTGGATCAGACTCTGTAGCGCCTCCTGCTGGCTGTGCAGAACGGCCAAGTGCAGACCTCTACAAACACAAATAAATACATAAATAAATAAAAAAAACTGTTACTCTTTACAAAAAACAAAAAAAAACATATTTACTGCCCGACAAAAAAAAACAACGCAGTAACAAAATTTTACTAAACCCAAAAAACACCTTCGTCATAACGTGTTTTATTTGCTGACAAAGTTTTATGACTCAGCTCGGTCTTGTTTTTGAGAAATCCTCACGTGAAATTTGCAAAAACTCAAAATTCTTCCGTAATTCCGAGGAAAAGTGCAGCAACCGAAGCCGGGAATTTTCTAACCGACAAATCCAAACACTGATGCTGCACTTTCCTGTTTTGTTTTCTAATTCTGAAATGGGACAAAATACAGACTTGTTTTACTAACAATTTTTTAAACTGACTCCAGTGACCCTTTTTTTTTTGTTTGTTTGTTTTTTTGGAAACTGGGGAATCTATTTCGAGTTAATAAGACCAGGTCCAGGAAACAGTTCAGTAAATGCACCAGTGTTGTATTCAAGAGCGCACTAACCGAGACCAAGACCAGTCCGAGACCACAGGGTCCAGAGACCGAGACAAGACCAAGACCTCTGAGGGTCGAGACCGAGACAAGACCAAGACCTCTGAGGGTCGAGACCGAGACAAGACCAAGACCTCTGAGGGTCGAGACTGAGACAAGACCGAGATTACGGACCACTGAGACCAAATCGAGACCAAATCGAGACCAGATTGAGACCAAATCGAGACAAAATTTAGACCAAATGGAAACCAAATCTAAATCAAATCGAGACCAAATCGAGACGAGATCGAGATCAAATCAAGACCAAATCGATACTAAATCTAGATCAAATCGTGACAAAATTGAGATCAAATCGAGATCAAATCGATACTAAATCTAGATCAAATCGTGACAAAATTGAGATCAAATCGAGATCAAATCGAGATCAAATCGAGACCAAATCGAGACCAAATTGAGACAAAATCAAGACCAAATCTAGATCAAATTGAGACAAAATCAAGACCAAATCTAGATCAAATTGAGACCAAATCTAGATCAAATTGAGACAAAAATTGAGACCAAATCTAGATCAAATTGAGACAAAAATCGAGACCAAATCTAGATCAAATTGAGACAAAAATCGAGACCAAATCTAGATCAAATTGAGACAAAACTGTAACCAACTTGAGACCAAATCTAGATCAAATCAAGACCAAATTAGGACAAAATCAAGACCAAAATCTAGATCAAGTTGAGTTCATCTTTGTAATTTTCTAAGGTTATTTGTATTTTACAGTTATTTTGGCTCATTTATATCAATGTTTTTATCAGTCTATCTCAGTTTTATCTGATCAATATTCATTTAGGCATAAAATATAAAATAAAATAAATAAGTCAAACTGCACTAAAACACTTTGTGCCCCCTTTTTTTGGACCCTCACCCACAGTTTAAGAACCACTTCTTTAAGAGAACTTCCTCTGGCACTTTACAGAAAAACAGTACAGAAAGTGAAAAAAGTGGGTAGGATTTTTAAACCAGTTTTTTCACATTTTAAAGCTGTTTTTTCAGCTGTTTTACACTGGTATTTAGCTGCATCAGCACATTTACCAAACCAAACGCACATCGTGACAAACACAGATTTATTTTACATTTTTTTAGTCAAACTTCAGCCGCGTATCACAGTGGATTTGCTCTGTGCTGTAGGTCTGCTGTGTTATTATTTTATATTCTGCTTGTTCTGGATTCAATGTTTAAGCAAAACTCTTATTAAACATTCATTTTAATAAGAAAAGGTTTAACATTATATATTTCGAAAGAAGAGAAAACATTTGTTTGGCCCACGACTTAGTCCCAGTTTTTAATTTTGGCCTCTGTGAATTTGAGTTTGACACTTCTGATCTAACTTGATTTAATTACTTATTTATTTTTATTCTATTTTATTAACTTATTTATCATAATTAAAAGAAATGTTTGCATCATTGTCTGTTTTTGGATGCTTTCTGGATGTTGTTTATTGTTCTTTGCTGCTGGTACAACACTACAAACCTTTTTATTTATTATTATATTATGTTTACTTGAATTTTTATGTTTCTGACGGTGAAAGATCTTCCCAAATATGTTTTCTTTCTACATTCAGGGGTCAAAAGTCCAATCAGTGGTGACGGTTGATTGATAAAAAAAAATTAACTCTGACATACACAAGAGGGAGCACGTCTACTATTTAAAGACGTTTTTCTTTTTCTCTTTCCTCTCGTTTTAACCGTCTGCAAAGTTACTGCGTTTTTCCTTCGTGGGGCAGTGTACAGGTACAAGTACAAGTACAAGTACAAGTATCAACAGGAAGTTTAGGAGGAAACCCACGTGTCTCCGTCCTCGTCCTGAACTGACAGTAGGTGGCGCTGCGGGGCCAGGAGAAAGGCCGGGTTTCCTGAGACCGAGAACTGGAAGAGCGCCTCCACCTGGCGACGAGCTGCATCATCTGAAACGACGGAACAAGAAAAGGTCTGAACAACACCGCAACAATCAAATCAAAATAAAACCGAGCTCTTAAGTGTTTCTATGTATTTCTATGGGAGGGATGTTCGTTAGTTGCCATGGTGACCGCCCAAACTGCCCAAAAACTACCCAAAAAGTTTTTCAATTGTCTGAAAACTCAAAGAAAAAACACAAAATCAGTATAAACGTCACATTTTCAGGAGCCTGTGATCAATACGAGCGCCCGTGGTCCTGTTTAGGAGTTTTATTTCCAACAAAAAAAAGTGAGACGGAAAAACTGCTGCCGAACGATCATTTTATTTAAGACGGACTTGTTTAACAGCAAAAAATCATCTCAGCTCTTCCACGTAGATCCATGTATCACTCGCTCATTAGTTTTTCAATATAAAACTAAAAATAAGCAAAGGAAAAAAACAACTGTTTTCTTCATTATTTGTCTCCAAAACCAAAATGAAAAAAAGGATAACGATTTGTTTTTTCAGTTTTCGGATTTTGTGTTTAAATGAAGAATGGAAAAAACAGATTGAACCAGGACTGATCCAGGTCCGGGACCAGACCAGGACCAGACCGGGACCAGACCGAAACTGAGACCGAAACCAGACCAAGACCAGACCGAGACCAGACCGGGACCAGATCGGGACCAAACCAGGACCAAACCAGGACCAGATCGGAGGCTCAGAGCCCACTGCAGGGCCGGAGCTCGAAGCTGAGGCTCGGACCCTGCGGAGGCTTGGAGTCAAAGCTCGGAGTCCCGCTCTGGTCTTGGTCTGGTCTCGGTCTGGTCTCGGTCTCAGTCCTGGCCTGGTCCCGGTCTCAGTTCCGGTCTCAGTCCCGCTCTGGTCCCGGTCTGATCCCGCTCTGGTCCCGGTCTCAGTCCCGGTCTGGTCCCGGTCTGGTCCCGGTCTCAGTCCCGGTCTCAGTCCCGGTCTGGTCCCGCTCTGGTCCCGGTCTCAGTCCCGCTCTCGGTCCCGCTCTCGGTCCCGCTCTCAGTCCCGGTCTCAGTCCCGGTCTCAGTCCGGTCTCAGTCCCGGTCTCAGTCCCGGTCTCAGTCCCGGTCTGGTCCCGGTCTGGTCCCGGTCTCAGTCCCGGTCTGGTCCCGGTCTCAGTCCGGTCTCAGTCCCGGTCTGGTCCCGCTCTGATCCTGGACCTGGATCAGTCCTGGTTCAGTCCGTATGCGGTACAAAAGTCCGGCATCGCAGACACAGAGTCACGTAAATGGGAAAACGTCTTTTCCATTCTTCATTTAAACACAAAATCGAAAACTGCAAAAAGGAATCGTTATCCGTTTTTCATTTTGATTTTGGAGACAAATAATGAAGAAAACAGTTGCTTTTTCGTTTTCTTATTTTTGTTTTTTTACTGAAAAACGAATAAACGAATGATACACAGATTCACATAAGTCAGCTTTTTCTGTTCTGATGGTGTTAAAATAAATAAATAAAAGATTAACTTGAGTCACAGACCTTCAGACAGAGTAGTGCTTTCAGTTATTATCTAACTCTTTCAGCTGTTTTATCTAAACTGGGACTAAACCAGGTCTGGGTTTCTGTACCTGTGCGATCCGCAGGAGGACCCCCCGCGCCCTCCTCGCTCTGCCCCAGTCTGGAGTCTCGTTTCTGGGTTGTGTTTTTGAGAACCGCCCCCGAGGAGGAGTCGTCGTCCGGATCGCCGTCATCCGCTGAGGAACTTCTGGAAGCTGAGAAAAAAAAATTCACAGTCAGGGTAATACTAACGTCAACTAGCATGCAAACAGTGTACCTCCTGATTCCCGGATAGTAAAATATTTTGTAATTAAATGCAGACGGTACAAGTCAGACTGATTTTGAGCCTTTGGGGATCTCCCGGTCTGTACCTCCCCCCCATCAAACGCAAACCTAAACAAAAACTGTCAATCGTTTGTGCTTCGTTTGTGCTGCAAAAAGTTTTATTTGTGCTGCTTTAATTTTTTGAGATATTAATAATTCTTTTATAGGTCAAATTGGGATCACCCAGCGCCCAGGAAGCTTTAAAACGCTCTAAAACTTTGCAAAATGGTGTAAATTGTTTGTGCATCATTTGTGCTGTTTTGTGCTCTATGTTTCAGTCTTTGGTATCTTTCTTTTGATCCATATTTTATATTATAAATCAGACTTTTTCACAGCCTGAGATCATTTATGTTCACTAGTTTTGCAAAGTTTGTCGCACTCAGCTGAGGGGAAATGACACCATATCATTTCCTCAAAAATAAAAATAAATCATTTTAGAAATATACTAAGATAAATTAAATTAGTCACATTTCATATAATTTTCTGCCTGTTTTGAGCGCAATTTATCATTTTGAGGGGTTGGATATCCAGCCTGATTCATTGGACAGTTTCACTTTGTGGAAACAGTCTGACCTCGCAGCGTTAGGATTTGTTCGCTCGACAGTAGGCGGGTACTTTTTTAAATTTAACCAATCACTGTTGTTTGGTTGTGACGTATGTAATGCACCAAATCCTGTAGGAAGAAGGGCAATAACGTCTTTCCCTTTGATAAAATTCACCAAACATTCTCTTTGTTCTGGCTTTAAATCTTCGATCTTGGGAATCGTTGCCATCACAGAATGTCTGTCTTTGTCTACATCCATCTCGACGCTTTGTTTACTGTTGTGCTGTTCCACAAACGGGACACAGACTGGAGCTTGATTTTGACGTCATGTCTTCACAGCTCTTCACTGATTGGTCGGTGCGCGGTCTACAACTTCTAGTGCATAGTGCTCTAGTGTTTTCTGATTCCTGACCTAGTCGCTGGAGAGAAATGAAATTGAACGGAGGCACTAGGTGGCACCAGTCTGGCTACTGGATGAAAATGAAACTGCTGATATCTTAACCCAGGGGTGTCAAACTCATTTTGGTCCGGGGGCCGTATCCAACCTACTTTGATCCCAAAGGGGCCGGATCAGAAAACTCATGTCATATAAACCCCCAAAAATAACAATAAGTTCAAATATTTGTGCAGAAAAACACAAATCTATTACAGAAATCTTTTTTAATTGATGAACTCTTTCTTTTACAAAATATTATAATATTATGAACAACCTGAAGCTTTAAGAAAAATACAATTTCAGCACAAAGTTTTAACATGAACTTGTAAGTAAACAGGAATAAGTCCATTTTTGTTGTAAAATCCTGCACTCGGCTCCACTTTTCTCATTTTTGACATTTTTCTGATGAGGGTGTCACGGTCAACAGTCAAACGATCGTCCTTTAAGAGCGTTTGGAAAGAGACAAGTCTTCATTTGTGCTGCTCTGGTGGGAGGGGCCACGTACAGAGACGCTGGAGACGCTGCTGTGATAAACACCACAGAAAATTAACAAGATTTTAATAGAAAATATAATTAAAATATTTTAGTAGAAAATCAGCCGAGGGCCAGATTAAAGGTCTTGGAGGGCCGGATCTGGCCCCCGGGCCGTATGTTTGACACCTGTGTCTTAACCCTTGTGCTATCCTCAAGGGGATAGAGAGGGGTACAAATGTGCCCCTCTGAGGTTCAAACAGTTTCCAAATATATAAAGAGCATAAAGAGCACCACAAGGCACACGAAGAACAGAGACAATGTAAGGCCAAGTCACATGGCTGTTATGTGACCGGGTCAAATGGACCCATATATCTATGGTCATCCGGTCATTTTAGAGCATTTTTAAGCTTCCCAGGGGCTGGCTGATCCTAATTTGACCAATAAAACAATCATTAGTATCTCAAAAAGCAACTAAAGCAACACAAATGAAACTTTTGCAGCACAAAACAGCACAAATGTTTGACATAGTTTTTGTGTAGGTTTGCGTTTGATGGTGTGAGATCGACTAGTGGCCGCTCCAGGTACTGCAGCTCCCAGAATTCTGCATTTTTACAATATGAATGTTTTCGATTTATTTTTATTTATTTTTCACCTCAAATGCCTGAATGTTGAGCTTTGTATGATTTATCCTAGCCCCGTTCTGAGTCTGCGCTCGTTTTGGTCAGAACTGCACATTTCTGACGTCACGTGTCGATGGGGTCAATATTCAGGAAGTAACGCAAAAGAATGTTAGAAGAAATGGGCCGCGTGTCATTTCTCGTTCCTCGCTTCTTTTCCTCGATTCTGCGGGAAATGGGCGAGGAAGTCCCGCCCACAGACGAGACAAAACGAGGCGAGAGGATATAAACTCCTCAGAGATCCATAAAAAGTTTAATTCTTTCCCCTGACGTCTGCTCCCGAAGCCTCGCTCATGTTTACTCCTTCCTTCTGTTGTTTTCTGTTTTCTTTGGGACACCGGCGAGGAAAGAGAAATGAGGCCCGGCCATGGGAAGAGCACAGGTCACTGGAAACAGCACGGCGCCATCTTGGGTTCAGCTTCCAGATCTGATTATTCTTCCGCGTTCTCACCGTGTTTGGCCCCAGCTCCAGAGCCCAGGCTCGCTGAGTATCCTCCAGAGAAGCCTCCTGCAGCTCCAGAAGAACCGTAGTTAAAGGAGGTGAAGTTCTGGTAGTATCCTGCAGAGACACACAGGTACAAGAGGGACAGATTTACAAAATAATATCTTCAGCAGTGTTGTGAAGAAAATGTAATCCCCTACAGATTACAGATTACACACACCAAAATGTAGTTTGTAACATAATCCATTAAATTACTTAAAGTGAGTAATGTAATCTGAATACTTTGGATTACTTGATTTGTTGTAGAGAAGCAAAGACGAGGAAATCGTAACATAAGAAGTTTTGTCTGATAAAAGAAAATAAAAAGTCCAGACTTTACTGAACCAAATTAAAAATATTATTGATAGAAGACGAGGAAACACGTCCACACAGCAGGATTTAGTCCTGTAAATCCTGGTTTAGACCTGGTTTTAGTCCTGGCTTCGTCCTGGTTTAGGTCTAGTTTAGACCTGGTTTTAGACCTGGTTTAGACCTGGTTTTAGTCCTGGTTTAGACCTTGTTTAGACCTGGTTTTAGTCCTGGTTTAGTCCTGGTTTAGACCTGATTTTAGTCCTGGTTTAGACCTGGTTTTAGTCCTGGTTTAGACCTGATTTTAGACCTGGTTTAGTCCTGGTTTAAACCTGTCTTAGACCTGGTTTTAGTCCTGGTTTAGTCCTGGTTTAGACCTGGTTTTAGTCCTGGTTTAGACCTGGTTTTAGTCCTGGTTTAGACCTGATTTTAGACCTGGTTTTAGACCTGGTTTAGTCCTGGTTTAAACCTGTCTTAGACCTGGTTTTAATCCTGGTTTAGACCTAGTTTAGACCTGGTTTTAGACCTGGTTTAGACCTGGTTTTAGTCCTGGTTTAGACCTGGTTTTAATCCTGGTTTAGACCTGGTTTAGACCTGGTTTTAATCCTGGTTTAGACCTAGTTTTAGTCCTGGTTTAGACCTGGTTTAGACCTGGTTTTAATCCTGGTTTAGACCTAGTTTTAGTCCTGGTTTAGACCTGATTTTAGACCTGGGTTAGACCTGGTTCAGTGTCCGGCAATGAGTGGAATTACGGAAAAAAAAAAAAGAAAAAAAGGGATTTAGCCCAAAATGTGAAAACAGGAAAATACCTCCATTTATTTCAACAAAGTAACTGTAATCAGTCCTGGTTTAGTCCTGGTTCAGTTCTGGTTTAGACCTGGTTTAGGCCTGGTTTAGGCCTGGTTCAGTCCTGGTTTAGTTCTGGTTTAGTCCTGGTTCAGTCCTGGTTTAGTTCTGGTTCAGTCCTGGTTCAGTCCTGGTTCAGTCCTGGTTCAGTTCTGGTTCAGTCCTGGTTCAGTCCTGGTTCAGTCCTGGTTTAGTCCTGGTTCAGTTCAGTCCTGGTTCAGTCCTGGTTCAGTCCTGGTTTAGTCCTGGTTCAGTTCTGGTTCAGTCCTGGTTCAGTCCTGGTTTAGTTCTGGTTTAGTCCTGGTTCAGTTCTGGTTCAGTCCTAGTTTAGTCCTGGTTCAGTCCATATATGGAGCAAAACTTGATTAATTGTTGATCATTGATTGTTATTTGATGATCAGTGACAGTTATTTTGGTGAGAATAACTTAAA